GAGGCAGGAGGATCGCTGTGAGTTCAAGGCCAGCCTGGGCTACACAGTCCAAGGCCAGTCTGAATTACATAGTGAGACCCTGGCCCACCCACCCTTAACCCCCACCGCACCATACAGGCAACTGACTTCCCGGTCCTTCTGGGCTGGGGAAAACAACTGCTCCCTGGCTTCATCAACTGATGAACAGATGAACAGGAGGCACAGTAGGTATTGTAGTTACATTCTATCAACAAGGCAGAGAGGCAGTGGTCTGCGAGGATCCCTCTGAGCCATGCCCTTAAGACGTTGGCCAAAAAATTTGTCATCAACTCTCCTGATGCCTAGAAGCTCTCCTGGGCACTTCATTTCTTTGAGATATATTTTTTTTTCCCTCCAGGACTCCTATTTCAAGTGCAAATATTGTCCCTCGCAGGAACAGGGGAAACGTCTTTCACCCAACCCTTTGGGGAGCAGGCAGGTCAAGCACTTGATGGGAGAGATCCTGTTGGAGAAAGTGAATATATGAGTTGGGATACAGGAAAGAGGCAGGCTCTTGTTCCTAAGAGAGAGAGAGAAAAAAAAAAAAAAAAAAAGGTTTCAAAGTGAGGAAGAAGGAGAAGTCCATAGAAAGAGAAGAGAAACAGGGAGGCGGGGGCTCCCTAGCTCTAGATGGCTCTGCTCCCAACTTTGTGAGCTCAGATATGTCTTCCCTTTGAGCCCTACATTAGTCCTTTGTCAAAAGGAATGACAACAACTGAGAATTAGTTATGGGACATTAACTAACTGGCAAAGAGTAGACACAGATGTTTTTCTTCCCTCAGCTCTTCACTGATTTTAAAGCTCTGCTGGGTACACAGCAAGCTACAGGCAAATGTTCTCCCTACTCCCTGCCCCCACCCACAGGCTCCTTTGGCTTCTCCCAGCTTGAGCAGCCTATAGGTCCCCAAACAGGGGACTCTTTGAGTGGCTCCATGAAAGGGCAGTTTGTGCTGTTCTTGGCGTTGCTGGACAGGAGTCCCCTAGAATCAATACCCTCTTGCTTCTTCCTCGCAGACAGCCTTCTCTGCTCTCCTGTTGTTTATGAAAGGGGGACAAGCAGAGTGATCTGCTGCTCCCCACTCCACTTTCACACATTCTTCTTTCCCTCGTGCTCCTGTGTCTCCAGCATGGCGCCCCCTCGGCCCTCTCGGGCCTTATGATCCTTGGGATGAATGGCGCCTGGCTTCCCACTGGATTATGTCCACTTCTCCACTCTTACACTCAGACATGGACTGTCCTTCAGGGCAGCAAGCAGGCTACCTCAGTGCACCTAGTATGGAGCTCCTCACCCAATAGGGGGTCATTGTACATCTGTGGAAAGGAAATGATTCATTCAAGCATTCAACAAACATCTGAATCTCCTAGAGGTCTCAGTAGGCATCAGAGACACAATGGATAGACCCTTGCAGTGCTTAGGAAAATGTTTCAGACTCTTCCTCTAGAAATATCTACCCCAAAATATAGTACTGCCAATAGGAGCAGAGCAGTGACAGCAAGCGTGACAAGGCCGACACGGAAGGGTAAGGCCTTTGGTGACAGACCTGGATTTGAATCCTGCCTCTGCTGGGTGGCCTTAAGCAAGTTAGATTTTCTCTGACTCAACTTCTGTTGTTTGTAAAACAGGCAAAATAGTACTTATCTCACTGTGAATATAAAGGGGGCAAGTACACCTAAGTTCTTAGGACCGTGCCTGGCTGTACTAATGATAATAGTAACAGTTGCATCAATATCAACAAGGCCAGGAGTCCAGTTTGGACATGGCTTTAGAAACCAGTTCACAAAACAGTACAAGAAAAAAGGAAAAAAATATAAACAAGAAATGCCCCAAGCCCAGTCAGTCATGTTTAGAATTTGCTATCTACCCACTAAATGTTACTAGGACCCCAAAACCACACACAGTGTCTAGCAGGGCTGGTCAGACCCTCAGGATGTGGAGACTAATGCAAATAGTGAGGCCTTTCCTTTGTGGTATAGTGTGTGTGGAGGGACATGGCTCTGGTGAGGGACACAGAAGGCCGGGTGTCTAGCTCTGGCTCGGCTGTGCGCCAGTAACCATTTGACCTCATTTCACAGCACTTGTTCAGCTTTCCTCCCTGGGGAGGTGGGGTTTGAAAGGAGGAGGGAAAAAGTGTTTTGAAGACTGATGTGCTGACCAAAAGGAAGGTGTCACTATTCCTAGCTCTAGGAGAGGCACCGTCCCATTGCAGGCCGAGCCCATTCCTCCTTCCTGGCCTCTACAGAGCCTTCCATCATCTTTAAGACTTGTTCACAGCTCTCCTTGCCAAGAAGCCTCTTGAGGTTTGGGGCTAGCCCCCAATGCCCTCTGGTCATGCATCACCCATGGCCACATGGTCTTATAATGATTTAAGGGTCTTTGTTTCAAGGCAGGGTCAGTAGCTAGTTCTCTCTATTCCTACTTCTAGGAAAGGCTTGGCCCTGAGTAGGCAGTTGGCCAGTGTGATTCGAATAAGCAAACAAGGCTCTCCCAATGCTATGGTTTGAGTGTATCCTCCAAGGATTTGTGTGTTGGAACCTCAATCCTCAGTGTGGTGATATCAAGAGGTGATGGGACCTTTAAAAGGTGGGGCCTAGTGGGAAGTTATTAGGTCATCAAGGGGGCTGCCTTTGGAAGGCACTGATGCAGTTCTTATGGGACCCTGGTAAATTCTCAAGAAAGTATTATAAAGAGCAAGCCCGATCCCAATCTCTGCCTTCCTGTCTCGCCATGTGATCTCCCTCACTTATGCTTCTGCCATTGTGATACCATTACCATGAGGCCTTCCCCAGAGCTGAGCTGATGCCATTGTCATGTCCTTGAACCCTCAGAACTGGAAGCTAAATAAACTATTTTGTTTATAAAGTACTTGGCCTCAGATACATTGATAGTAACAGAAAATGGACCAGTTCACCCAACTCTCACAAGTCACAGTGATCTCTTTCCTCTGCAACAGTCAGTGGTGATTCATCTCTTTTTATATGCAACATTTCCTCACTGCGCTTAGGCGACACTTAACTCAGGATGTATTTTGTCTCATCCTCCTACTGGCCCAGCTCCCAAGGATTGTGTTCTGTACTTCTCTGTACCCCTACAAGACCAGCCAAGCTCCAGGCCTGCTCCTGGGAAGGGCTCAGTAAGCAGTCGTTGCTTAATGTGAAGCCAGATATTCTTGAGCCTCAACCGCTTAGTTAAGATGTTTGATAACTGCTACATCTCACTGTTAAAAGCACAGGTGTTAGAGCCAGAGATTTAGCTCAGTAGCACAGCCTGCCTCGCAAACTTAAGGTCCTGAATTTGATTTAAGACACCCCCCCAAAAAAGCACATGTGTTAAAAGCATATGCTTTGGGTCAGACTGTGGGATGTTGGACAAATTAACTACTCCACTTCCTTACCAAATCAACCCCACAGGGTTGGGATGAGCATTAAATAACGAATGCATGGAGCCCTTAAATGGTGCCATTTCAGTAAATCTATCATGTACCATTGCTGTGATTATCTCAGATGGCCCCTGTAGTTCTGAGAAGTCTTGGGTTCTTTAAGGAAGGGAAAGTTATGCCACACAGACACCACAGACAGACCTGAGCTCTCAAGCTGGAAGAGGTGGGTTGAGTAGATGACCATAACTTAGTAAGATTTCCAAAATCCTGGCACACTTAGCATAAACACATGGGATGTGACAAGCTTTTCACAGAGGCTCTGAGGAAGCTGAATATTAGAAGAGAGCTCTAGGAAGCTGAGAGGCTGAAGGGCACGGGGAGCGGAAGGGGCAGAGATAATGCATAGTCTAACCAAATCTGAGTCACAAACTTGTTCTTTCACTGTGGCTCCTTTGTGAGCAACAAACATTCACACCCCTGGAGGAAACTGAGCCAAGTGGCTTCAGTGTTCTCCTGGTATAAGTCCTCAAACAGCACTGTCACTCATGGCTGTAGCTATAGTTCTTGCCAGGAATTTTACAAGAAAACATCTCCTCATCAGACTCTGCCTGTAAAAATTCAACCTCCACAGTGCAACTCAAAGGATCCCTTTGCAAAAATGCTGAATGCCTACTTATTTTGAACCAGACCTTCTGAGGATTTCAAGAGGAATAAGGAGTCCAGTGGGAGTGGTCTGGCAACTAAACAAATTTTGAAATGCAGTGAGATGGGGCTGTAATATGAGCATTTACAAAGTGTAATAGCCATAAAGCACTCACCGTGCAAGGAAGGTGACTGAAATGAATACAGTAATTTCAATTCAGCCATATGTTAGGAAGAAAGTTAAATCAGTTAATAGGACAGAAAGTGGCTAGAAGGTAGGTGGTCAGGGAAGGCCTCTCTGAAGGACATCAAGCCAAGAATGGACTGAGAAGACCTTGGCTGAGAAGTGGGAGAGGTGGTGGTGCTGTGCACAGTGGCTCCAGGGAACAGAAAGAATGTCAGTTCTTGAATGTGGTGAGAGGAGAGTAGTGAAAGGTGAGCCAGGCTGAGAGGAGAACGTAAGATGCCATACTCTGCTTTTCTTCATTCAACACTGTAAGAACATTCTCTCTGGGAAACACGATTTATAAACATTTTAACCATTTTATTAAAAATAATCATATAAAAAGAAAAGGTTGCTTTCTACTTTAAACAATTACCACAAGACATACCTAGTACTCCTATAAGGTACGCCTCTGTGTTGGACACTGCCTGCTCAGGTGCAGCAGGAAGCAGCGGGAAAAGGGCCAGAAGCCACAGGGGCTGGGCTGGCCCCTCCTGCAGGTGTCCCCATTGCCATTTCTGGGTCCCTGTGGCCAGTGGTCAAAGCCATTAGCCAAACCCCAGACACTATCAGTATGTTTAATCTCCATCAGAGAATCTGAGCTCCAGTAACCTGAGGCCACCACTGCCCCTCCTCTGTATTGTCCTTTGACTCTCATGACTGCAGCAGAAAACAGTGTGAACTCTCAGGGTCCCTACAGCGCTTCCCTCACCTCCCATTTGCAGGATGGCTGATGCTGACCAGACCTTCTTCCTGGAAGCTGCTCTCCTTTCTCCTCTCCTATGCTGGCTTTTGGCTTCCAGCTTCTCCAGAAAGCCACAGGATTGCACAGCTGCTCTCTGCCAACATTTCAGTCTTTAGGGTTGGAGCTGCAGGGTCTGCGGAATTCCTGTCCGTACTCGTGTATCCACTTATTGGCCACTGGGAGAGAGCAAGAGGAAGACTGCAGGCTCAGCAGGCAGACAACTGCAGGGCTCCGTGAGCTTGCAAACGCCTCCTAAAATCCCGTACCCTGCCCACCCTAGTCCCACCACACTGTGGACTAAAAACTGTTTCTTCTAGAAAAACTCCAACAGATTCTGTTCACTGTCAACTAATTTTCAAATGTTTAGGCACTAAGGTCACTCAGCTTTCATTCTAAAAGCCCAACTCTCATGAAGCCACTCCTGACGGTGTCCATACCTCGGGATGTGAGTCCTCTTCAAATTCTGTTTCTGTCTTCAGGGCTAAATGCTCTTGGCCACACACACACAGTAAACAATCCCCCTCTCCCCTGCTTATCTATGCTTCCTTGTTTGGCTATCCCCTTGGGGGAAGCACTAAAAGAAAGCAGTTCTCTCCTTGGAGCACAGGGCAGGAAGAAAAACAGCACCATATTCCTCCTCTGCTGCGCTCAGGAATCAGGCCTCTCTTCTCAGGTTGATAAACCTTTGCTAACACATGCTCTGGAACAGCAACCCTGCTCTTTCCAGGCTCCTGATCTGCTGCTGACACCCGACTGGTAATCTGAGCAACTCAGTGCAGTGTGGCACTGTAATGAAACCTTTGCGAAGGGAGGGCTGTGCTGTTCCTCACCCACTCCCTAGTTGGCTTTATTTTGCACCCTCACCCCATCCTCTTGTCCTGAGAGGCAGGCCTTACCCCACTTATCTCCCACCAGGACAGGACAGCCAGCGTGAAGTGTGTCGCCATCTCCCTCACCACTCCTGTGCAGGTTCCACCAAAACAGTGCTGCATTCTGAAAACAAGAGGGCCCCGCCCCATTGAAGGACAAATGCATGCATGTCACTGAGCGAGAAAATTCCGTGCAGTTTGGGGCAAGGCGTGCATAAAAACAGAACGAGACAGTGTAAAATGCCCTCCACTCATTCATGCACAGGTAAGTCATTGAGGGTCTGCTGTGCCAGGCCCGGGGGAACCAGAGACAAAGTGCATCTGGTTCTGTTCTCCAGCAGCTCAGGAGAGACAGAGATAAAAGAGATCAGGAGAGGACAGTGTGGATTGTCCTGGGAAGAAGGTAAGCACAGATATTATGGGACCACTGAGAAGAGATGCCCAACAATCCCCAGAAGGTGGAACAAGATATTCCTTGTACAACCAAGCACTTCGCTAGTTCCGAAGTTCACACTCTTTTAGGCACCACTAACACCCACCAGGGAGGCATCATCATAATCCCCCTTCCTAGCCAAGAAGTGGATGCTTAGTGCCTAGAAGTCATGTAACTAAAAAGGAAATTTAGGACTCAAGCCCAGATGTTCTATTCCAAATCCTCTGTGTTCCTTTCCCTCTATACATTGCTTTTTTTTTTTTTTAAATCCAGTACACATCCTCTAAAAGTTAACTTTGGCCATTAGAATAGATCAAACCCTAACTAATGAAAGATGTATCACAACCTCTGCATTTCCAAGCCTAGAAGAGACACCAAAGCCCTGGACATGCATACGAGTGTTCAGGGTGTGCTGGGAACTGTACTAAGTGTTTCATGGGCATGACCTTACTTATTGTCTTCATTTTGTTCCTGAATTACGTAAGGCCGGTCAGGGAGCTTGGGTCTGAAACTTGGTGGCCATATTCATGCACTGAACAAATCTCTTAGCTAACAGCTCCCTCTGGGCCTAGGGCAGTGCACTGTTACTGCCTGTTCACTTCTCTGTAAGTCCCTAAAGGGAAGGGCTCTGAACTTTCCTCTGTACCCTCAGCACCTCTAACTCTCAATGTGGACAGAACTAATGACTGCAGAAACAGCTGCTGTAGAGGACCCAGAGGTACCTTTGAAGAGCTCTATTATGACAAGACAGATGTGCAGTAGTTCACCCCTCACATGAGTGCAAGTAAAATAACAAATAGGGCCACGATGGGGGTAACAGACGGTGGGATTATCTTTGATTCTGAGAGTTAGGGAAGATCTACCTCTCTTTATCTGTCCCAAACATCAGCTTGCAAGCACAGGCAGGATGAAGGTTGGGGTGTTGGTTCTATGCCCTCTTGGCCCCCATCTTCAAGGCCAGGCCCCACTTACCTTAACCACAGGCACACTGAAGTTGGCATAGATGAAGGCTGTGGCTCCTCCGGCTTCCACTGAGCTCAGCTACAATGCAGAAGAAGCTAGAGTTAAACAACTGCCAGAGTCCCTACTGGGCCCTGTGAACATTAACCTGACATCTGAGGTCATTTCTACAGAGATTCCCTCCTGTGGTGCCCTATTTCAAATCTGTGGGAAATCCTTGAAAGACAGTCATTCAACTTCACAATTCAGGGAACATCTGTAATGTCAATGGTGTTTGCCCTTAGGGCCACAGAGGGCAAGATTTTGGAACTCCTCCCTTCTCTTCCCTTCCAGCCAATGTTCTTACAGAGGGCTACAATAAGGAGATTTAAGCTTTTTTGACTGGGACAGGAAAAGATACATTTTATATCATGACAACACGCACATACTGACTGTTGAACTAAAAGTTATGATTCTCACTACATAAGATACCCTGATATTTTCTATTTTATTTTTTAGTGAAGTTTTCTTTCTTCTTTTACTAATTTTTTTGGGGGGTATGGGGCATCGAACTCAGGACCTTGTGCTTGTAAGGCAGGAGGTAGATTCACTGAGCTAAATCCCCATGCTGATCAGAATTACTAAACTAATCTTACAACCAAGATTTACTGGTGGGTTCCATAAATTTCTCAGCTCCTCCTTAGGTACCCTAAGCTGAAGACTTTCAGCACTGGTATATTCTAGGGTTACGGATGTCTTACTGTGAAGATATTTTTCAGTCTTAAAGAAATACATAGTAATCATGAACATAATTTAAATTACAAGAAAAGTACAGTGGACCCTCGAGTTACAACTGGCTTGACATACGTACAACTTGGGTTATGGCTGGAATTTTAGTTTTATCTTATGGTCTTGAGTAATGACCCAAATGCTGGCCACTTGCGCTTTCAGATGGTCTCAGATACAGATTTAATCCTTAAAGAGTTCTGGAAGGAACAGTACAACATCCTTTCCTGTAGTGGGTTGAGAAATCCTGGGCCAATGACTCTCTAAGGACACTGAGATCTGCCTGTATATAGGAGAGAGACGTTGAAGGCTGGGTAGAGGAGCCTGAGCCTTCAGTTGACCAACTTGAGTTACAATGAACCCTTGGGAATGAACTGAGTTCCTAAGTCCACTGTATTAACATAATAGTAGTGTGTATCATCTCACCATTCAGAAAAAAGCAGTTATGGTTTACAAAGTAATAGTTGGCATCTATTGAACATTGACTATATTCTAGGCGTTAATATTAAGACATTATAAATGTATTATCTCTTATTCACAAGAATTCTATGAATTGCAAGCATTATTATATTTACATTTTACAAATGAGGAAACCAAGCCTCCAAGAGATTCTTTTACAAAAGGTCATACAACTTCCAGGACAGAACCAGGATTTGAGCTGAGCCAATGCTATCTGGCTATTAAATCCCTGTTCATAACTGTTAAGTTATACTTTTGAACATTTAGGTTACTTCCAACTATTTATTATTACAAACAACACTGCATTGAACATTTTAATGAATGAAATTATTTTGGCATTTCATTTGCCTCCGTAGAAGAGTCCTAGGATTAGTATTGTTGGGTCAAAAATATATGCATAAATTGAATACTTTGGATATATACTACTAAATTATTTTCTCATCAGTGACACAAGAGAACTAGTCTTATCTCATTCGCCTAGCACTACCAGTAGGTTCATTCTGTGTAATCTCGTAGCAGTCAAGACCACCATCTCCTGTCCCACATTCACATTTGTTACAGAGTAAGAACTACAGGAGTTAGGAAGTTGGCACTGGTTAGAGGAAACTGAACTGATTCAGTGATTCAGAACCTGGAAATGCAGTGGTAGTTTTTAGCATTCCTTTGCTTCTGTCGCCCACTTGGAAGGCCAATGGAAACAGCAATTCACTCCTTATATCCAAATAACTAACACATTAGATAATTCTGTTGTAACCACAGTCGTCAGTTACCATGGTTATAAATAAAACACAACAAGGGCAACCCTGATGTTTTTTGCAGTCTGTACCTGTGGTTTTACAATATTATGGAAAGGAGTGTCATCCCAAGAAATTTAAAAAGAAAATCTGATTCTGCATGCAGCTAAGCTCATGAACAAGGAATGGTCTGTGAGATAGTGGGAGAGGAGAGAACCCTTCCCTCTGTGCACGTTCCAGTGTTTTCTGCTGGGACTGATCTTAACCCAGCCTGAGCAGAAAATCACTAACCTGATCTCAATGCAATCCTCTGCATTTAAGATTATTTTCTGTTAAAATATTACTTATTTCCCACAAACCTCAACACTTGCCTCTACAGTTCTAGAATTTGATGGTCTTTATCCAACCTGAAGATGAAAGAATTGGGAATAAGTGAGCACTTCCTAGGTCCCCAACTCTAGTTCTCTTTGATGGGGTCTTTTACCTGCTCGGTTGGCTACAATGATAGAAACATACTGTGTGAAACTTTCCAGAGTCACATCCCCCAACATTGTCTCAGCAGATCCTCACGACAAACCTGTGAGGAAGTTCAGGGCAAGAAAATGAGCTCAAATAATTATAATTTGTGCTGTGGCTCCATAGTAAGCAGCAGAATCAGATTAGGCTGACTGACTCCAAAGTCAAAGCACATTCCATTTCATGGTTTCAAATGCTTAAAAAACACATGTGTTTTCTCTTTCTCTGTCTGTCTCACTGTTTCTCTGACTCTGTCTCTGTCTCTGTCTCTTTCACACACACACACACCCACACACAAAGACACATGCATGCGTGACATACCAATTTGCCATTTAAAATTGCTGGCCTCTTACATTCATGTTATCTACACTACAGTAATTGGGACTCTGTAACAGAGAACCAGCCATAGGAGATACTGGAGAGATAAAGAACAGAGACCTACTGTGCCCCTACATGCTCATATTCTTTGGTTGACTGCTACATTCATCACTGCCTGTGACCTCCCATGCCATCTTGGGTAACCAAGAGAGATGCAGATCTAAGCTGTGCTCTCTGCCTGAGAGATGACTTCAGCTATTCTTCTGTGCTTACGCAGAATAATCACAAGTTGCCAGACACACTTGTAAGTGGTAGCCTCCAGTTCTGTGGGCAGCACGCACCGGAATTGCCAGAATAAAGTATATAGAATGCTGGCCTTCTTTTTCCCTTTCTTGGCTACACTGCAGAGACCAGATATAGCCCTAAGAGAAGAGGGAGTGCTAGGGAGTAGTGTCCTCTAGTCCGATGAGCCAGAAAACAGGGCTTCAGTTTTAGATGTTATTCCGAGGCCTTGTGGTTAACATGTTTATCCTTCAGTTAGCATTATGAATCTCTTCTAACAGGCGATTGCTTCTAATAATCTCTTTTACGTTACAAACAATTGGGATTACAACTTGTTGATGAAGAAGTAAACTCACATGACCTTCTGGTGAGGTGATAAAGACTGGGACCAAATCTTGTAGGATCAGGCCAGTAATCAGGGAAGGAGGCTAATTGCCTTATTGTATTCTTTTTTAAAAGGGTGTGATGGAGATTTTACTGAAGATTTTCTTGATAGATGAGACTTTTCACTACATATCAGAAGCAACAATTCCTGAATTTCTCTTTAGGCCTCTCTGTGCTTCTTTCTTGTACTCTGACCCACCTTATTTCTCTTCTCTTCAACAGCTCTGAAACCACACTTACAGATCCATGGTTTTCAAAGCTCATTTAGCTATAGCACCTCAAAGGGTAGATTGTTGTATCCTTTTCTTGAATAGTTCAAGTCCCATGATCTCTTGGCCTTCAGTGTAACTCCACTTCCCATACTAATCCATGCCTAAAACATGGTCATATTTAGATCTACACACTGTAAGCTCTTTGAGGGTGGCAAGTCTGTCCTGTCTTTTATATCTTCCGTAGTGCCTAACCAACAATGCTGTCTGAAATTCAAAAACTTCCTAGACATGTTTGTGTTCAGTACCAGATAAAAATCAGTATATGAAATTGCTTTGAAAACCATTAAATAAATAAACAAATAAAAGAGTCATTAAGTAGTAATCCCTGGTCCCTCCAGAACAAAACTCACATAGATCATAAACGTTGCAACTCGGTTCCCAGACTTCATTCTGTACAAGGGGCTGCTTGGCGACTGAGATAAAAATAGAAAACATTATTTCATGCAGATGTCAACAGGGTGCCAGGATTCCACCATCAATACAAGAAGGGGTAAAATGGGGCACCAAGGTGGGATATAGCCCTGAGGCACACTCAGTGGAGTATACGCTCATCTTTGCTAGCAGGCATGCAATCGCCTTTTTATCAGACACCAACTTAGTAGATTCTCATAGGAGTTAGCTGTATACTAACCATAACTACCTGTTGACAGTGAAAGCACTGTATGAGTTCTCTGTGAAATAAAGAAATCAATATATAGAATGTTACAGATAATTATTCCACAGAAATACCAACTCATAAGATAAGACTTCCCAATTATCTGCCAGAGATAGGGTCAGTTTTTGCTATCCTGGAACAGTGTGAAATATAATTTGCATACCATAAATGCATCTATTATAAGAGTACTGTTTGATGTATTTTAGCAACTTTTAACAGTTGTCCAACCATTTCCCCAACACATTCTCAGAATATTCCCACCTGCTGAAAAAGTTCCCTCATAATGAAAAACATGTAGTCTTTTGGGTCTGTCTTCTTCATTTGCATACTATTTTAAAGGCTCTGCTATGTTGCCAAATATGGCCACAGTTCATTTGTTTTTATTGCTAAGTGGTAACCCATTGTGTAGATACACCAAAATTTGTTTATTGATTCCCCTGTGGATGGGCTTGGACTATTTATAATTCTTGGTTATTAAAAATAAAGTTACTATAAACCAGGCATGGTAGAGCACACTTGTAATCCCAGCACTCTGGGAGGCTGGGGCGGGAGGTTACAATTTCAAGCCCAGCCTGTGCAATTTAGTGACTTAGCAAGACTTTCTTAAAAGAAAAAAAATCTTTTTTTTTTTTTTTTTTTTCCAGGGATCGAACTCGGGTCCTTGTGCTTGCAAGGCAGGTGCTGGAACCACTGAGCTAAATCCCCTGCCCTAAAAATTTTCTTTGTAGAGGGCTGGGGATATAGCTCAGTGTGAAGGCTCTGGATTTAATCACTAGTACTACTAAATTGATTAATTAGTCATTAAATGAATAAATGAATGAATCTATATACACTCACATGCAAGTCTTTGTATGGACATATATTTACTTTTCTCTTCAGTAAAACATATAGGATTGAAATACTTGGATCATAGTATGTGCCTGTTTAACTTTTTAGAAATTTCCAAACTCTTTTCCAAAATGACTATACAGTTTTACATTCCCACCAGCATTGTATGAGAGTGTCAGCTCTTCCTTGTCCTCACCTACACTTGGTATGATCTGTCTTTTTTATTTTAGCTATTCTAATAGGAGTACAGTGAAATACCATTGTGGCTTTAATTCATATTTCCATATTGATGTTGAACATCTTTTCAGAGAAATGCAAAGGACCTAGAACAGCCATTTAATTACCTTCTTGGAAGTACCTATTATATATTTGGCTCATTTAAAATTTTTGTTTTGTGTATCTTATTATTGAGTTATACACGTTCTACAGATATTTGGGATACAAGCTCCTTATCAGATATATGTTTTACAAACATTTTCTCCTACTTGCTTGACTTGTCTTTACATTTTATAATTTTTTTTTTTTTTTTTTTTTTTTTTTTTTTT